CATTCATCTGTATTGCATGCACCGGGCTCGGCGCATCATACTAACTGCATTGTATTTCAATTCGGAGAGCGATGAAGAAATAGAGTTGCATTTCATACACCAATTGCTGGCCTCCCACCCTTCTACGGCCTTCCCAGTGATGAAACAGAGGTACCTGCCAAAAATGAACGAAAACCGATGCAAAACGAATGTTCGGGGGCCAAAACGTGCAGTTCGGGGCCCCGAAAACTGCCTGTTAAGCACCGAAAGTGGCACTCGACCACGAAGTGGGTCTCTCAGACCTCAGTGTCCCTCAAAAGGGAGTAAATAAGATGCATGCTAAAAACCAAAACAAATGGAGGTGGTTTGGCGGTCCCGAACCGAGGCACATGGCCTGAGGGCTCCGAAAATCGGGAACCGGGCTCCGAATTTGGCAAAATGGCCTACAGCCACAAAATGTAGCCCACGGCCACTGAGAGATGGTCTACGGGACCTCTCCCTCCCCTCAGGAAAAGAAACAGAGAAAATCGAGTCTGGTTTGCAAACCGAGGCAAGGCACAGAAGAGGGTTCGGAAATCCGGAGGCAGGGCTCACGGCCGCGACTCTGAGACTTCTAAACGAGCATAATATGTAGTATCACCGAGCGCTCAACTGGTGACGTCTGAGTCTTAAGGTCGGTCAAAAATGGGGTGTCTACAGCTATATTTCATATTTCTTAAATATATCTTTTATTTTTAAGAATAAAATGATGTTTACAAACTAAAATATACCATTTAATGTATGTACAAAATGAAAATTTTATGCATAGTTATATAATAAATTTGCCTATTTATACATACTTCTTGGGTGAATCTCCAACTAAGCATGTCAGATACATATCTTATACTCTTATCCAAACGTCAAGTGTCCAACATGGATACTATATAAATTTAGAAGAGTATCTAAGGAATCATGATCACCAAACAGCTTCCAAGGCCTCAATTAATGGATCTGGCTGCCACAGGAGAGGAAAAGCAAAATATTTAAAATAGTAAAAAAAAAACTTTCCCTAATCAGAAAATGATATTTAAGTGCAAACAAATTTTGGCATAGATTACCGTTGTTTCCTTTAATGACAGAAAAATGCGTTCAAGTGAAAAATCCAACCGGTGAACTTTTGCCTTCACAATCTGCAACCAAAAAGAGTTTCACAAGAACTTGAATATCACAGAACGTAGCAATTAATATAGCGATACGATATATTATGATATAGAATTTCGATATATTTATCACAATTCTATTCTATATTATTCACAATTCTAATTGGTGAGTAAACTCAAATACCTTACCAACTCTGAAATATGATGCATGGTCCAGAGTGGCATCCCATGACACTTGTGTTGGGTGAATTAGTGCAGTTACCCCTTCTACCTACATTTGGGTATTTAGGTCAAATATTGAATCACAATAATCTGTTGACAGAGAGATAATCTCATGGTCTTGGCCCCATAACAAGGAGATATGGATCCATAAATAGAAAGATCATAACAGTCAAACAATCAGTACACCAATCCAAGAACCCCAATCATTTCCAAAATGTTTTGGGGTTCACAACTCATTTCGTGAAGTTGAGACCATGAAATCACAAGACTTCATTGGAAAGCATGTTTTTGAAGTAACATGGTCAGCAAGGTTTATGTTTACCTCAACAAAAATGCCAAAGTAAGTAATCTTCTTGATGCAACATTTCACGACGTCTCCAACACTAAGTTTAGCCTGCAATCACAGACAGCATGATAGCCTTAAGACTATAAATTAATTTGTCAATGGACATCTAGCTTCAACATACCCATGAATCAAATAATTGAAATACAAAAAGCCACCCTCATGCCAGAATTAAACAATACAATTTTAGAAAAGGCAATGCTTTAACATGATTTTTACACAAGGTTCTAAAAAGCGGTTGCGGTCGCCGTAACGGTAGCGGTGGCGCGATTGCGGTTGCTGGATGTAAAGGCCGTAGTGTAACGGTTGCGGTAACCAGAACTGCGAATTTTTTTATTTTTCGCACAATTTGAAAAAAACTTACCGATACACATATTTTTTTCCATGATCATATTTATTAGGTTCAAAATAGATATTGACAAATTTTTGTAAATTTTTAAGTATGATCCAATATATTTCATATTTTTAAATCACTATAAACTAAGTTTTTTTACATTTTATTTTAATAATCAATAACTTTATATTATACAAAAAATCAATCACTAAGTATTATACATAAGATAAACAATGACAAAAGTAAGAGAATAAATAAGAACCTAAATATATATATATATATATACATATTTTAACCAAGCCAAATAGATAATGACCACACTTATTATTATTATTATTATTATTATCATTATTTTCAAACAATATTTAGATAGACACACACAAATAAAATGGTTGAGTGATAGCAGCTAAATAGAATAGCATAGGTCTTACAGTTTCAACAAATCAATAACATGTTTTTCATCTTCCCTCTTCTCTCTCTCTATCTGTTGCTCCTCCATCTTCTCACTTTATCTTCCCTCTTCTCTCCATCCCTCTTCCCCCATTTTCACCTTTTTTTGTGTGTGGTTTTTTTCGAAAGAAATAGTTCGGAACCGTTACGTAACAATGCGTAACAGGCCATTACAACTGTTACGGCACTATTACGACTTCTACGGTAGCCGTTACGGCCGACACACCTGTGAATCTCAATCACACTACAAAAGTGGCCGTAACGGGTAGCGGTAACCACCACAACCGTTACGTAACGACGTTACGTAACGGTTGCAGCAGCTTTTTAAAACCTTGTTTTTACATAAATCCAATCTATTTTAAATGACAAGACACGCTTAATCCCAGGGCACAAAGAGTTCGACTAGTCATCCTGTAGGGACCATTCACATGATCCATCCCTGTAAACAAACTGCAAATAGTTCAAAAATCGATATGTTTAAATTGTATTTTAATAGGCATGCTATTTAGGAAGGTGAGATTCCATATTGATATTTCAACGCAAACAACATTCTTCCACGTAAAATCTTCAATTGTTTAGATAAAACTACTATAACTCTTGTTAATATTGTCCAATATATTGCTACCTGCCTAATTCTTTCTTCCATTCTTCACAAACAAACTTTAATCATTGTCCCATACCAAAACTATGCAATTAAGGCCTTGCCGTGATGGTATTTAAAGTGAAAGTAAGAGCCAGCAAGAAGCATCTATAAGTTTAAACTGTACAGAGTTTCTTACCATGACACTTTTCTTTTTCTCAACCATTTCTTCCTTTTCTTTTGGCTTCACAGAAAATATTAACCTTTTAGACTTTCTATCAGACGACGCAACATAAACTTTGATTTTCTGCAAACATAAGTGTTATCAACAACTTCATATAAAATCATAAAGATTCCAACATAAAATCAAGTCGTCAAACCTGACCAACAAAGGATGACAAGAATATGAGTTTCTCTTGGTCATAAATTTTAAGAAGATCTTCCAGTTTCATATCAGGTAAAATGTGTACGTCGACTTTTAGATCAATTTCTGGGCCGAGGCTCGAATCAAGAGAAGTCTTGTTTGCAATCCTGTATTTTCCTACAACACCCAAATTTTGCTTGTACTCTGACGGGTCTAAGGCTTTCCCTCTCAACCATGATTCGAAACCTAAAAATTTCCACCTGGCTGGAAGATTACAGTATGGTAAAAATCCTATCAAAGAGCCAAAAGATACCTGTAAAATGATTGATTGAAATTCAGAAACAAAAATAGAAATAATAATATAATAAAATGGAAAATTAAATTGCAAGGAAAAGACAACGTGCATAGTAAAAACTAGTCGGACTTTTAAGTGTAATCAGTACTCACAACAAAGCCTCTGGTGCTAGAACTAATCAGTTTCACTTCTTCTCTTCCTCCTGTCCTAGCCAGATCTTCAACCATTGCCCAGTCATTGTCTTCATGTTCCTACATTTTAATATGGACCTCAGGATCCATCATATGATACTACTACTCAACCAAAACAAATATGGAGATTGAGTGCTAGATTAATCTAACCTTTATAGGTGATGCTGCAAGGAAATTCTCAAGCTCAACAACATTTCCGTAAATTTCTGGATTCACTAAAGCCATATCCTCTCTGCTAAAATTTGGCATTCCTTTCGCAGGTTGGTCTAATCTATAGCATAGAAAATTTATCAAACAACTAAAACTAGCAGTAGAAGATACCAAAATGTATGGATTATAGCGTGGCTTCCCTTACCTTTTTGGTTTTCCTTGCAGCAAAGCTTCCATAGAGAACTTGATATTAGAATCCACCAATTTTGTCTCCAAAGGTGCATTAGCGGCACTCCTTTTCTCAGAAGACCCTATATCAAGTGGCTGTAATCCTTGGACGAAAAAAAAAAGAAAAAAATGCACAACATTAAATTCCAAAGTTCCAACCACAGAAAATCTGTCAGTTCATTTGCTGTATGAGTGTAATCCTCAAGCCCAGAATCTCTGAATGGGGAAGCATTTCCAGTCTCCACAGATTCAACATAATTGCTTTCTTTCGTATTAACATTTTTGGTAGATATGTTCACACCTTTCAAACAAAATTTTTTTTTTTCCTGATACATAAGAAGTAACTTTATTAGAAGGAAAAAAAACGTCAAGACGATGCTAACAAATACAAAGCGCCAGCGCCAGTGCCAGTGCCAGTGCCAGTGCCAAGGCCCTTGTGGCACTTTGGCAAGTAGCTGCACCTCAGGGTGCAGTGAGAAGAGGACAGGGTTCGAGATGATGGATCAGCAGCAGCCCCCTTTAAGTAGTACACTTCTGTACACTAATTTTACTAACAAGCTTAACAACTCTAACTTACTAAAATATCGACCCAAAAAAAAATACAAACCAACACCACAATAGCTACATATCAAACAAACAAAGAATCAACAAAATCCAACAAGGAAAATAAATCCGGCTCTAACCTTCCTGTCACCCAACTAGACAACACAATTGACACTTATTCTTCACTCTTTTTTTCTTTTCTTTTTTTCATGTCTCACTGATTCTAATTAGGTGTTATGGATTTCTAACCTATCAAAAGTTTATGTTTTACTGAAAATTTTGAAAATTCAAAAATGTAACCTTTTTTGAACAAGGGTTTCTGTTTCCTCCAAATTTCCAAACAATTAATAATAACAACCACATAGACCATTTAAAATAAATAAATAAATAAAAACAGATAACAAACCAAAGCTGATACACAATATACATACATATACAAACACATCCAAACTAGTATTACAGACAAATAGAGAGAGAGAGAGAGCGGGACCTTGAACTCAATTTGGTCCCACGGGTCGAGCTTAGGGTTGTCTTTGGAGGCAAAAACTATAAATTTACTAGTCGGTTTTCGAGGGAATGATAAATTTATAATTCTTCTTCTTCTTCTTCTTCTTCTTGGCGGTGCATGGGACAGTATAAGGAATCGAATGCTGGACTGGCTGTTGGCGGCGGCGGAGAGAGCAGGAGCAAGAGCAAGAGCAAGAGCAAGAGCACCCATTTTGTGAGAAATCAGAATTAAAGTCAGCAATGGGAGGAGTAGTGGGGTTTGAAGGTAAAATTTATAAATTTTAATAATTAAAATCCAGAGAAGAAGACAATCCAAAAGCAAATGGATTTGGGTGGGGGTAATAATAGTGGGAGGCGGCGGAGAGAGCAAGAGCAAGAGCAAGAGCAAGAGCACCCATTTTGTGAGAAATCAGAATTAAAGTCAGCATTGGGAGAAGTAGAAATCAGAATTAAAGTCAGCATTGGGAGAAGTAGTGGGGTTTGTAGGTAAAATTTATAAATTTTAATAATTAAAATGATAAAATTTGTAATAAAATTTTAAAATTACTATTGAATTTTACCTTTTTTTTTTTAAGTTAAAAATTAATAATTACTTTTTTTTTTCAAAAATAATCTCATAAATTAATGGAAAAAATACACTTCACTAGTACTATCACAAAATATTTATAGATTAATGAAAAAAATTATGAATTTAATTATTAAAATTTGTAAAATTTACAACTGAATTGAAAAAAAAAATCAAAAGGTATAGGAGATAGACCAATGTACATTAGATTAGTGTTGCCAAACATATTTAACTTTTTATTTTAAATCAAATGGATCATATTAATAACAAATATAACACTATACTTTTTTTTTAAAAAATAAACTAAATTAAATAGGGATTTAGAGAGGCATAGAGCGCAACTCAAATTCGATATCCAAACTAGACATTAAATTTTTTAAGAAAAATGACAATCATGCCGCCCTTATGTCACAAATTTTGGATGACAAACTGATTACTTTGGCCAATTTTAGAAAGTGGGTTAAAAACCACTTCCTACCTTTTAATCCACTTCCCTCTCTTACAAAAAAGTCAAAAAAAAATTAAAAAATTAAAAAACAACTTTTAACCATCTTCCTAAAATATCCATCAATTTCTCTCTCTTTCATTTTTTTTTAAATGTTAGTTACATCTGTTCATTTTTTTCATACAAGTATTTTTACAACTCTTTCATCATGATAATTAATGAAAATTTTTGTTTTCATTGAATATTAAAATGACCCTTTAGCCTATAGTGATTGGTCATATTACAACATTGTAAAAAGATCAAAACTTCTATTTCCTATAGTTCTTGCATTTCAACCCAAAAAAAAAAAAAAAATGAACCGATATCCAAACTAGACATTAAATTTTTTAAGAAAAATGACAATCATGCCGCCCTTATGTCACAAATTTTGGATGACAAACTGATTACTTCGGCCTATTTTGGAAAGTGAGTTAAAAACCATTTCCTATCTTTTAATCCACTTCCCTCTCTTACAAAAAAATCAAAAAAAAAAAAAAAATTAAAAAACAACTTTTAACCATCTTCCCAAAATATCCATCAATTTCTCTCTCTTTCATTTTTTTTTAAATGTTAGTTACATCTGTTCATTTTTTTCATACAAGTATTTTTACAACTCTTTCATCATGATAATTAATGAAAATTTTTGTTTTCATTGAATATTAAAATGACCCTTTAGCCTTTTGTGATTGGTCATATTACAACATTGTAAAAAGATCAAAACTTCTATTTCCTATAGTTCTTGCATTTCAACCCAAAAAAAAAAAAAAAATGAACATCACAAATCAAAACCAAATTTGAGACCCACACGAAACATGCAGTTCCCTCTCATAATGTGGGTTTCGGATGAAGCGAGGGAATCCTTGACCGATCAAAAAGCACAGCTGACAGAGCATTTATCAGATAAACAAGAGAACCAATGTATGGAATTCTATGATTGCTGCTCTTGTGTCTGGTCTGAATTTGGTGTTTGGGGTTCTAATTCTGGGTTGGATTCATCTGCCGGTGCACCTGGTGTCACAATTTTCTTGACTGAAGCTGTCTTGGTGAGATGGCTATAACTACCCTTCTCTTTGAACAACTGAGCAAAGTGAGGCTTGCAATAGATGTATCCATCAAGAGCAGCATAGGATGAAGGGTTCAATTTGCAGCCTCCATGAGCACACTTGAAGCATAACTTGTGGTAAAATGCTCCCTCCACAGTCACCTGTTAATTACAATGTTGCTCAAAAATGATATTAAGGTCTCTCACTTTCTCAAGCTTGTACCTCAAAAGACTTGTCTAATTATAAACAATTATAAGTCAAGGTATCGCCAAGAAAAATTTGAGAATTTTTTTTCCTAAAGTCTTGCTGGTCAACCACTGCCTCAATGAAAAGTATTGACTGGTTGGGCAACCAGCACCGCTTTGGGAAAGTTTTCGTGAAGCCTAGCATTGCTATCACTTCACTTAGAGGGATTGATTACTTGTTCTAGTTATTACTCGTTTGGTAATAATTCATTTTTTTTAAAAAAAAATTTTGTAAAATTTTTAGAAATTGAAAACCAAAACTTGTTTGATATTTTGTTTTTGTTTTTAAGCAAATAGAATCAATTCTAAAATTGAAAACAAAAAAAATATATTTTCACTTGTTTTCAAAATAAGATTTCACTCAATCATCGATTCTCGCACCTTCGACCCCCAAGCCTTTCACTCTAACTGACCACTAGCAGCCCTCTGGCCAGCTCCGACAGCCATCTCCGGTGACATTTCAACCACCAGCAACAAAATATGATTACGATAAAATTATAAAAAGAGAGAGAGAAGGAAATGTGAATGCAGACCTTTTCCATGGGGTACACGGTTTTGTTACATGCACTGCATTTTTCTTGGGTGCCAGAGAAGAAAGAGGAGTTTTTGCTAGGGATCCTATTCTGTTAAAAACAAACACGTATTCTATATATTATTTATTTATATATAACATAACATAGTCAACTCAATATGTGATTAAACCAAAAGGAACATGGATGAAATTGAGGGAGTGGGCAAAGAGTTTTGTGTACCAGTTTTTCATTTTGTGCCCCAGCTGATAATCCATAACAGAGAACAATCCATTACTAGGCAAATACAGAATGAAAACAAGATGATTTTATGTTCCGTTTGTTTTGATAGAAAATATTTTCTCACAATTTTAAAACTAATGATTGTATTTATAATGGTATTGATGTAGTGGTGGTGTTACTGTGGTGGTGGTGTGGTAGTTAAGGGTTGGCATTGGGCAGGGTTGGATATCAAAATATGATACTCAAGTTCGTTTGCAAGTTAAATCCAACAAATTTTTTACGACGGGCTAGATTGCCATATAACCTAAAACTTAGGCCCAAACCCTGTCCAATAGACTTGACTCAGATGAGCTAACAGGCTACCTCTCAAGCTTACATTAGCTGGTCAAGATCAAACTTATTTATTTATTTTCATTTTTGTCATATTGCATGCCAGACACACAAATCAAACTTCAAACATTAAGCAAATGCCCAATCCAAAACTCATTCAAGTAGAGCTAACCAGCCGAGAGTATGTGCTTAGGTTGGGTTAAAGCTTGTTGGTTTAAGCAAGCCTTTAGGCCAAATGATGATACTTATTGGTGGTCGTAGTGGAGGGGTGATAATAATGTGGTGGCATTTGTAAGATATTAGTTTGGAAAACTTTTTTTTGTTATACCAAGCGATAAAAAATATATAAAAATATGTTTAAAAAATTTATTTTCTATCTAAACAAACGGAAAGCGAATGCCAAAAATGTTAGAGAAGGATAAAGGAAACATACAAGATTGAGGTTTCTTAGAGAGACCGCTTTTCTCTTTAAAGAGTTGTTCATAGTGTGGTTTGCAGTACAAATCTCCATCTATGGTTGAGTAGCTACTCATCTGCAACACATAAACAACATTTCATTTTATGCATATTAATTTACAATAATTGAGATTCATGTATTCTTTGTTCTAAATTATTTTGCTTCCATTATGAACAAAAAGTTCAAGGATTTAGTTAAATTTGAAAAATAAAAAAATAAAACAATTCAACCCTATATAAGTCTGGTTTGTGACAATTGTTTTTTAACTAATTTTTTTTGCCTTTTATAATAAAATTATTGCTAAAAAGTTTATGCATTTGATAAATGCTAAAAACTTCACATAATTTTTTTTAAATTTATTTTTACTTTTATATCCTTCAAGGTTAGAAGGTCCTTAAAAAGTGAAAGTGTAGAATATATTTTCTAAAATATTTCGCTAAAAACATAAAAAATAAAAAAAAACATGAATTGAGCCAAAAAGTTTGACCCCAGACTTTCGTCATTTATGTGATCAATTTTGAAGATGTATTGCAATCTTATACCTCCATTTATCGCCATAAATACAGAGAAATCAAATCGTTCCATTGTTAATTTTAGCTAAATTTTATAAATAAAAAAAAAAGAGGAAAAAATAATAAGAATGCATACCGCAAGAACACTATGGCAGTGACTGCATTTGAAGCAAGCCTTGTGATAAGGAATTCCATCAGCTTTCAACATCTCAATGAAATGAACAACTTTATCACAACCCTTGCATTTCTGCAAGGTCCCACTAAATGCCATTTTTCCAGTTAAATTCTTTGATTTCAAAGTCGATAGCTCATTGAAGAATCCCGGGGAGGAGAGAGAGAGAGAGAGAGATGGAATGAAACTCTCAAAAATTATTGTGTTTTGTTCACCTTCTTGTACTTGTCAGAGGTAGAGATTACACGCGGAGAATGAAAAAAGGTTAATGGGTGGAGAAGGTGAATTCGACAAGGTATTGAGGACAAGTGATCGAATATCCGATTATGTTGGAACAAATGGAGATTATTGTTCCATTTATAGGGTTAATTCAATGGAAAAACAGACCAAGTCTGTTGAAGATAGACGAGAGAAAATTAAGGGATATTTTTTTTAAGCTGGTTGTCCTAAAACAGAGTTTTTAGTCTACCTAGTAATATATTTGATGAAGTTTGATAAAAAAAGAAAAAAATAAAATAAGAGGATTATAATTTTGTCAACATGGAACAAAGCTCTATCTTGAGCATTTGGGAAATGAGATTACAATGCAAGTGCACTAATAAAGTTAGCTCAATTTCATGATTCAGTTTTGGTTTTATTTTTATAGGATATTGTGGGACATATTTTGAGAATGACAGCACGTGACCAAGGTGACATCGAAGTGTCAGCCGAAGTGCCACGTGGGCTAATCCTGACGCCAAGGTGATCTCGGCTAGGCCGAAGTTATCTGCGGAGATATCGGAATCCGAGATGAGCGGATAAGGGACAAGAGTCCTAGAACAGAGGAGGATCTCAGTAGGGATAAAGATAAAACTCTTAGGGAGTTTATCCCTATCTAGCTGGGAATCCAAAATGAGCATTGAGCCTAAGTCCATTAAAGTTAGGCTTCTACAGGGATCAAGTCAGTGTTGGCTATAAAAACAGGTCACCCCCATGGGTCTCAAGTAGGTGTGATATACTATAAGCAGTAAGTTCTTTCTTGTAAGTTAAGCACAATTTGCTATTTTTTAGAGATATTTAATTACTGACTTGATCGTCGGAGTGCTTTCGGGTGGACGAACCACTGTCGGATTCTTATTTTTTCTGTGACAGGTTGTTCGGGCTTAATCTATTATGCCGATGCTCTCCAGCTGAGTTCCCTATTTGGTTGCGTGGTCAGAAATCAACACCTACAATTTGGCGCTATCTGTGGGAAAGTAAGGAGAATAAATGGCCAATAACGGACAAAAAGAAAAGATCGGGGACGACATCCCTAATGGAAGTGGTAAGCATGCTGATCTAAACGTGGAGGAAGAAAACTATAACGAAGGAACACAGGATCAGAATCCCGGGGAGAAAGACGTTGGCCAAGAGGGAGACACACTGAAGAAAGCAGGCCGAGACGAGTATTACAACGAAAGTGACCTCCAGGTATGGAAAGATAGATACCTGAGGAGGGATGACGAGATGAAGAGAATGGCAAACAAGTTGGTAGACCTGTAATCGGTTGTCAACTTCATGATGCAAAACAACGTCATGCAGCCACTGTTTACATTGAAGGACACGCCGATTTCAGCGGCTAAGAACGATGCCCAGAAAAGGAGGGCATAAAGCAATTCCAGCAGTCCCTCAGCATGACAGAGTGAAGGACCGCTCACATCGGACTTCACGAGATGCCAGGCGAGTAAAATCAATAAGAGAAGAATCTCAGAGGATGCCTCATACTAAGGGAACTTATGCCAGAGAACATCGACATGTTCAAGGGAAGGAACTTTGTTTTGATATGGTGAATGAAGAAAAGTCCAAAATGAAGCATGAAGACACCAGGAGCAATGCACTAAAAAGGCTGAAATCCATTGACAGCCGAGCTCCTGGTCGGACTAAGGAGCATTTGAGGGACTACCTCTAGAGAAAGCAGCAGAACCGAGGTCACATCACCTATCAAACTGAGAACGCCATTCTCAGTAGAGTTAGATAGGTTTGAGGCCCCAAAAAGGTTCCATATGTCGAGGTTCCAAATATATGACGGTAAGTCTGATCTGAACTTTCACGTCGGCTTATATCTGAATTCAATGGCCTTGTATACCAGGAACAAACTGTTGCTATGCAAGGTGTTTCCCTCATCCTTTGGAGAAATTGCATCGGATTGGTTTCACAAGTTGCCGAAAGGAACTGTGAAGAGTTGAGAAGGCCTGGCCGAGATGTTTGTGACCAGGTTTGTCACGAACAAGTTACAACCATTAAGGGTAGACTCCCTGATGGCCTTAAAAATTGACGAAAGTGAGAGCCTCAAGGCTTATGCCAAAAGGTATTATGAGGTGTTCAATCGAATATCAAGATGCAACCAGGAGTTGGAGATCATGTCTTTTAAGAACGGCTTGGAGGATGACTGCATACTTCGGAAGTCGCTGGCAAAGACTCTGCCAAAAAGTATGGAGGAGCTCATGGCAAGGATCAAGAAATATGCTAGTGTAGAAGAGGATATGCCGAGAACAAAGGCCCCGAAGCAGGAAAAGAGAAATGGCTTGCCGAAGCGTGGCTGAGGAAATACTGGATTCAATAGGCAAGAAACAGGCCAGAGGGCTACACAAGAAGTCACCACTGTGTTCTGGATCCTGGTTTATAAATTTCTATAAAGGATCAGGAGCCAGCCGTATTATAGAGCGCTGGAGAGGATTCTAGGTTAATTTATGGGGAGAAATTTAGAGAAGCACTGTGCTTACCATAATGAAGATGGACACCTAACTCAGGGTTGCAGAGCCCTAAAGGCGCATTTGGAAGATCTGGTCAGACAAGGTCACTTAAGGGACCTAATAGATAAGGCCAGAACGAAGGAAGAGCAGGCGAGACTTCCCCAAGCACCGGCAGCACCACCTTCACCACAACCACAGCAAGCAGAACCTCGGGTGATCAATGTAATCCACTTGAAGGTTAATGAGAATGATATACAAGGAGAAACCCAGAAGGTAAAACACTTACAGCAGGTGTGTCAGGTCCAGCAAAAAAGGCCTAGGACAAATGAGTACTAGGGACCAATGGTGTCCTTTACTGAAGAAGACCTAGACATGGTGCAGCATCCGCACAACGATACTCTAGTAGTGACCCTCAAGATTGGGGAATGCCAAGTAAGGCGCATTCTGATCGACCAAGGCAGCACTTGTGACATCATGTATGTCCGATGTTACAAGGAGCTGGGCATTCATCATGATGATTTGAAGAAGTCCAATAGCCTAATGGTCGGGTTCAATGGAACGCCGACATGGCCCCTAGGAGCAATAAATTTGGAGGTGCAGGCAGGCACCAGGAAGGTAAGCATAGAGTTTACAGTAATTGACACCCTTTCTCATTACAATGTTATCTTGGGAAGGCCATGGTTGCACGCAATGTGGGTTGTTCCCTCAACGCTACACCAACTGTTGCAGTACCCAACGGAGCATGGAATTGAGGAAGTTAGAGGGGATTAGTTGCAGGCAAAAAATTGCTCCATGGCAGCAATAAAATCCACTTGCAACGTGCAAGAGACAAAAACAGTAGAAATTGAAGACGAAGACATGGAAGTTATAGATGATGTCGGCAAAGAATCGGCCGAGAAGAGTAAAAAAGTCTTAAAGAAAATTCTGGTCCAAAAAGGGGATGAAGAGCGCTTCCGAGGATGTGAAAAGGGAGTTTGAAGCTTTCTTACGAGCCAACATAAAACCCCGAGGTCACGTGTCATATGCTCAATGTAGACAGGTCGGCTAAACTTGTCATCCAGCGAGCGAGGAGGCCGACATTGATACATGTTGAGGCAGTTAAGGAGGAAATGGATAAACTGCTGGAAGCCAAGGACATTCTCGAGGTGAACTACTCTACTTGGCTGTCTAACACTGTAGTGGTAAAAAAGAAGAACGGCAAGTAGAGGGTTTGTATTGATTTCACCAGCCTGAATAAGGCTTACCCCAAGGACAATTTTCCACTTCCCAAGATTGAGCAGTTAGTAGATGCCGCTTTAGGGCATAGAATGATGAGCTTTCTGAATGCTTATTAGGGATACCACTAGATAGCAATGTATCCCCCTGATGAGAAAAAGACTACATTTATCACCCCGAAACGGCTGTGCTGCTACAGAGTGATGCATTTCGGACTGAAAAATGCAGGTGCAACCTACCAGAGGGTAGTGATCAAAATGTTTAGACATCTGATTGGAAAAACAGTAGAAATGTACATTGATGACATGGTCGTAAAGACCAAAAAACTTGAAAATCATCTGGCCAACTTGAAAGCAATCTTTGACATCTTGAGGACATATTGGCTCTGACTCAACGCTTCGAAATGCGCATTTGGAGTCAAGTCTAGTAAGTTCCTGGGATACTTGGTTACCAGAAGAGGCATTGAAGCAAGCTCAGATCAAATCAAGGCCATCATTGACTTGAAAAGCCCGACATCGGCAAAACAAGTACAAATGTTGACTGGAAAAACCGTAGCCCTGAACAGGTTTATAAGCAGAAGTTCGGATAATTATAAACCATTTTTTAGTTTGTTAAAGAAGGCCATAGATTTTTTGTGGACGGAAGAGTGCGAAGTCGCCTTAGCCGACTTGAAAAAGTACTTGACAACAGCTCCAGTTCTTTCAAATCCAGTACCTGAAGAGGAATTGTTCTTATACTTGGTAGTATCAGAGCACGCAGTGAGTGTTGTGGTAATCAGAGAAGAAAAAGGAGAACAAAGGGCAGTATACTATGTGAGTAAAGCCCTAGCAAGCGCAGAGACTAGGTACTTACCCCTGAAAAAATTGACACTAGCCCTAATAATGACTTCGAAAAAAATGAATCACTACTTCCAAGCCCACAAGATCGTGATACTGACTGAGCATCCTTTGAAGTCCCTGTTGCAGCAGGGAGATCTAATAGGCAGGGTAGCCAGATGGGCAATAGTGTTAGGCCAATATAACCTGGAATTTAGGCCCAGAACAACAATTAAGGGCTAGGTTTTGGCCGACTTTGTGGCCGAGTTCACACCTGGTGTTATCCCACATCGGACTCTGGCGAGCCGAGGCTTGGGGTGCCCAGGAGAACAAGAAGAAACCCAACTGGGGCCAAAGAACCCCACTCAAGCAAAACAAAAGAAAAAGAGAAACCAAAGCCCTGCGACATATACATCGGCGACTCCTTCCGCCTATTTGTTGATGGAAGTTCAAACTGTCAAGGAGCAAGGGCAGGAGTAGTGTTAGTATCGCCAGATGGGTGAATGTTAGAGCAATCAATTCGTTTGAGGTTCAAGGCCTTAAATAATGAACCAGAGTATGAGGCACTGATCGCAGGGTTGAAGTTAGCAGCAGCAATGGAAGCCGATAAGGTGGTAGTCTTCTGTGACTTTCAATTTATTGCGAATCAAGCAAC